ACTGAGGAGTGAGGGGTTGGAGTGCTCGTCGCCTGGTCCTGTAGAGTTTTGGTGACGGTCATTCAGGTGGCCAGTGGGGGTCACCGATGCCCAGGCAGCCTACTTCAGTGAAGGCTTCTTTGCCCAGTCGTTAAAGATCACGAAATAACCCACCTCGTACTGTTGACGTTTCTCTCCCACCAAGCTGAAGGTATGTGATGACTGTTTTCCCTTTCTTCCTTTGGACTACACCTTTTAAAATGTTGTTAGACAGGTTTTTAACCATAGTTTGAAAGGGATTTCTTCATGTTTCTGTGGTTTCCCTCGCTTTCTGCTGTGGATTTCTTTCTCTGGCCTCTTTTGTATATTTGCTACTTCTGCTAGGGTGACTCGTGAGAGCTCCCTTATGACTATCAGCTTTTTTTTTCCTTTCTTTTTTTTTTTTAAATTGGGATATAATTCACATACCATAAGATTCACTGTTTTGAGCGTACAGTGTAATGATTTTTAGTAAATTCACAAGGTTTTACAGCAATCACCGCTACTTCCAGAACACTTCATCATCCCCGGAAGAAACCCCACGCCCAGTAAGCAGTCCATCCCTACCCCAGTCTCTGGCAAGCATCAGTCCACCTTCTGTCTCTGTAGGTTTGCCTCCTGCGTGCACGTCATGGAAATGGAATCATACAGTCCGTGATCTTGTGTCTGGCTTCTTTCGCTAAGCATAACGCTTTCAAGGCTCAGTCCACAATACAGCCTGTATCGTACTTCGCTCCTTTTTATGGTCGAGGGACATCCCATTGCATGGATATGCTACATTTTATTTGTTCATTCATCAGTCGATAAACATTCGGAACAAGTTGTTTCCACTTTTTGGCCATTAGGAATAAGGCTGCTGTAAACATTTGTGTGCGAGCTTTTGTATGAACGTACGTTTCTTACGAACATCCATTGGTTACCATAGGCTAGGTCATATGTTCACTCTGTGTTTCGCTTTTTGAGTAACTGCCAGAGTGTTTTCAAAGGCAGTGGTACCATTTTATATTCTCACCAGCCATATAGGAGGGTCCCATTTTTCCCACATCTCTGTCAACACTTGTCATTTTTTGCCTCCCCCGCCTTTCAGCAGTAGCCACACTTACTACATGTAAAATGGTATTTTGTTGTGGATTTGATTTGCATTTTCCTAATGCCTAAAGATACTGACCATCTTTTCATGTGCTTTTTGGCCATTTGTATATCTTCTTTGGAGAAATATGTATTCATATTCTTTGCCCATTTTTCATTCAGTTATCTTTTTATTATTTCATTGCAAGAGTTCTTCATATATCCTGAATATAAATTTCTTATCAGGATGTGATTTGCAAATATGTCCTCCCATTCTGTGGGTTAGCTTTTTATTTTCATGAGTGTCCTTTGATTCACAGGTTTTTAACTTTGATGGGAGTCAAATTTCTCTCTTTTTTGTTACTTATTCTTTTGGTGTCCTCCCTGAGAAACCATTGCCTTATCTGAAGAGAGGAAGATTTACTTCTGTATTTTCTTCTAAGAATTTTATGGGCTTAGCCCCTACATTTAGGCCTGATCCCTTTTGAATTGAGTTTTGTAGATAGTGTGAGGACAGAGTCCAGAACCATTGTTTTACACGTGGATGTCTAGTTGCCCGAGCACCATTTGTTTAAAAAAATGATTTCTTCCTTCATTGAATGATCTTCGCACATTTGTTGAAAACCGTAAGACTGGGGCGCCTGGGTGGTTAAGTGGGGCTCAGTTGGTTAAGTGTCCGACTCAGGTCATGATCTCGTGACTTTGTGGTGTGAGCCCCACATCGGGCTCTGCCCTGGCAGCATGGAGCCTGCTTGGGATTCTGTCTCTTCTCTCTCTCTCTGCCCCTCCCCCACTTGCACTGTCTCTCTCTCTCAAAATAGATAAATAAACTTAAAAAAAAAGAGAAAAGAAAATTGTACGACTAAAGACACATGGATTTGTTTCTGGACTCTCAGTGCGATTCCATTGACCTCTGTATGTCTGTCCTTATGGCATTCCTACAGCGTCTTGATTACTGTAGCTTGGTAGTAGGTTTCAGATCAGGAAGTGCGATTTCTCGCTGTCCTTTTTCAAGATTGTTTGGCTCTTCTGGGTCTCTTGTAATTCCGTGTGGTTTTAGGCTTAGCATATCCATTTCTTTTAAAAATGCAGTTGAAATTTTGATTGGGATTGCACCGAATCTATTCATCAATTTGGGGAGTATTGCCATCTGAACAATACTAAGTTTTCTAATCCGTAAACATGGAATGTCTGTCCATTTGTTTAGGTCTTTTTTAATTTCTTTCAGCAACGATTTGTGGGTTTCACCATACAAATCTTACCCTGTTAAATCTATTACTACGTGTCTTATTTTTGATAATATTGTAAATGAAATTGTTTTTTAAATTTCATTTTCAGTTTGTTGCTGGTTTATAGAAATATCCTTGACTTTTGTATATTGATCTTATATCCTGCAGTTTATTATTAAATCATTTATAATTAGACCTAATAATCTTTTGGGGGGTTCTTTAGAGGTTTTTTATATATAAGATCATGTCCTCTGCAAATAGGATTTTTTTTTTCTTGTTCTCCATGGCTCTTATTTCTTTCCTTGCCTTCCTTTCCATTCCTGGTAGAACCCCAAGGAAAGTGTTGAATTGAATAGAAGAGTTAAGAGCAGACATTTTTGTCTTGTTCCTGATCTTAGGTGGGACCCTTCCAGTTTTCACCATTAAGTGTGATGTTAGCTGTGGTGTTTTTCAGATGCGGTTTACCACTTTGAGGAAATTCTCTTCTGTCACTCATTTGTTGCGTGTTTTTATCATGAAGGGGTATCAGATTTTGGTTTTTTGTGTTTTTTTCTGTATCTATTGAGATGATTATATATAGTTATAGAAAGTGTACATTTATATGTTATGTACATTACTGTGCTACATATAAAACTTTGTTGTGTCTATTTGCTTTTGCTTGCTTTAGATTTAGCATACTATTCTTTCTCTAGATTTTTAAGGTGAAAATTTCAGTTGTTTTGAGATCTGCCTTTTTTTTTTTTTTTTTAATGAAGCATTTATACCCATGAACTTCCCTTTGAGCACTGTTTTCACCACATCCTTTAAGTTTTGATATGTCGTGTCTTAATTTTCATTCATCTCAAAGTATTTTCTAATTCTTCTTGTGACTTCTTCTTTGACTTATTGGTTTTTTAGGAATATGTCGCTTAATTTCCATTCAACATGAATTTCCCAAATTTCCTTCTGTTACTGATTTCCACTTTCATTCCACTGTGGTCAAAGAAGATACTTTGTATGATTTTTAAGCCTCTTGGGTTTGTTGAGAATTGTCTCATGGCCTAACATCTCATCTACCCTGAAGAATGTTTCGTGTGCACTTGAGAAGAACGAGCATTCTGTTGTCGTTGGGTCGAGTGTTATATAGATATTGACGTGGGGCCGCAAGCAAATGGTCAAGAAAGAATTCTTGAGACATTTTCGGTGCAAAAAGGTGCTTTTATTATAGCACGGGGACAGAACTCGGGCAGAAAGAGCTGCACTTGTGCCGTATGAAGCCGGTGGTCGTATGCTTAGTGCTGAAGGGGGAGAGGACATGCAGGGAGTATCAGATCATAAATGTTGCTTCAAGTTTCTATTAATAAAACTACTTCTGCAACATTTCTCGAGTGCTCATCATTCAGTTCGATAGTAATTGGCAATATGCACAGGTAGTCACGAGACCCTTTGAGAACGTAGCAAGCAGCACTTAATTTGGCCCTTAATGAAAACTCTGAGGCTGTGGGTCAGCCTGCTGGACTAGAAGTGAGCATTTCCCTGCTTCTGTCCCTCATCAGATGTCTGTTCGGTCGCTGTTTTCGTGTTTGGGCGTGCCTTCAACACTAAACCAGGAAGTTTAAAATTCTGCCTTGCCGTTCACTTTCTGCCTGTGCAGAGCCCCGAGGTCAGTCAGAGGTGAGATCCTCGAGCCTTCTGTGGTGTTTCCTGAGATGATGCGTTGATCCTTTGCATGCGCCGCGTCTTCTAGATTCCCAGGAAAATGTTGGCGTTCAGCAAACCCCCCGTGGCTATTTCATTCCTCAGCTTGTCCTTTTGAGCTCCCTGGCTAGTCTCTTGTTTGCCCCCCTGCTACCCATGGCCTCAGGCAGACCCGTGTTTAAAAATTCACCTCACAAACTCAGGGAGAAGCCCTCAGCACTGGAAGAGACTCCGTGAAGTTGAATCAAGACAAGCCTTTTGAGCGGAATCTTGTAGGTCACCGCTAACCAGGCCAGATAATGACTTCCCTCTGGGAATGAGGCTTTCTTTCCCAGATCTGCAGCCCCAGTCTGCTGCTCCCTTCCCGTCCTGGTGGTGCATGCTGGGCTTTTTCAAGGTTGCTGCAGAACTGGGGAGCAGGAGATGAGATGAGAAGAGGTTAAAATGCCAGACGATTGAGCTGTGCCAGCAGAATCGCTGCAAGCCTTTGCTTGACTTCCAGAGCACTTGAAAAATTGGTCCTGACACGTTTTGCCCTTCTGTTGCTGGGGTCGATTTTAGGGAGGGGCAGACTTCTGCAGGTCATCGCCACGCTCGTTGGCATCACCACCATCCGTTTTCTGATGGAGGCTCAGGGACTGAGGTTCTGGGGAGCCCATGATGTGAGGGGGCAGTCATGTAAGATTTCTAATAGTGACGTCGGATCATTTCTTTTTACTTGGTTAAAAGCAAACATCTTTAGCTTTGCTGTTGTTTGTTATGTGACGATTCAGCGATTTGGCACAATGGAATGAGGAGCTAAATCATTTTTTTCATTCTTTCGGGGACTTAAATACAAAATTGCTTTTGAATTTATGTAAATTCTGTTGTTGACAAGAAGAGATTGGGAGGAATTCTAAGATTGTTTTTTGGTCGGAGGCTGCTGCCTTGGATGGTATTGCAAAGTGTTGCTGTTATTCTACAATATTAAAACAATTCCTGTTTTTTTCTTGTGGTTTACATTTTCAGGGTACCTTTGATGATTACTTGGAGTTATTTCTTCAGTTCGGTTATGTGAGCCTTTTCTCCTGCGTCTACCCATTAGCGGCTGCCTTTGCTGTGTTAAATAACTTCACTGAAGTTAATTCGGATGCCTTAAAAATGTGCAGGGTCTTGAAACGTCCATTCTCAGAACCTTCAGCCAATATTGGTGTCTGGCAGGTAATTATTTGAGAAAACATGATTCCTTTGGGGGAAAAAATAGCAAAATGGGCCATTGTGATTAAAAACAAAGGTGCTAAGGAGAAATTTGAGAAATTTAGTTTATTTTTTATTTTTATTTTATTTCATGTTATTTATTGCCACAGACTGTGTTGTGTCTCTTCAAAGAGTCATTTACTTTTTCTGGGCTTTGCTTTCCTTGTTTTGAAAATTGGGGATGGGGTGGGGGAGGTAAATTATAATTTCTGTGACCCCTTTCAGATGTAAAAGTTCTGAGAGTTTTCTAGGAAAGTAGCCAGGTGGGACTTCACTCACTGAGTGACGATGAGGCCCTCCCCACTTCTGTGTGGGTCGCAGATCACGTCGGGAGTCTGACTTCACCCCTACCCAGCAATAATGAGGTTCCTTTTCCAGTTTCTGCTGGGGTGGTTTCAGATAAAGCCTAATGGAGCGTCAGGCCTTCTGCCACCACCCAGCACAGCAGAGACCACGTGGGAACGTGGGAACACACACGAGGCACTTGTATTCGTCCTAGCAGAAGAGGTATCCGTGGGAAGGTCTGGTGGGAGACCAGAGTTCTGGCCCCAGTCCCGCAATAGGAAGGACCCCACCCTCCACGCTGGTGTCAGTGGTATCCAAATGGGTAACCTAACGAGGTGTTGCCCCTGCTTTGCCTGCTAGAGTGGTGTTAGAGGAACCGACCGAAACAAAAGCTTTAAATAAATTGTAGAATCTAACACCTAAAATGTCCAGGTTTCTATTTAAACAGTCATCATACCAGGAACCAGGATGAACCAACAAGAAAAAAGGGGCGGTCAGTAGATGCCACCATCAAGGCGACAGATATTAGAAATATCGGACAGATTTTAAAGCAGCCTTGATCAAATGAATGTACCTCAAACAGACAGAAAAATAGAATATCTCAGCAAAGAAAGAGAAGGCATAAAAGAGAGGCAAATAGATATTTTAGAAGTGGAAAATATAACTAAAATAAAAAGCTTAGTGGATGAGCGCTGTAGCAGAATGGAAGAAATAGAGGAAAGATCAGAAACTGGGAGATAGAGAATAGAAATGATTCAATCTGAACAGCAGAGAAAAAATAGACTGGCAAAGTAAATATAACCTCAGAGACCTGTGCGACTGTAGCAAAAGATCTAACATTCCTGTTATCAGAGTCCCAGAAGGAGCGGGGGAAGGAGGGGCTAAAAAACGCCTGAAGTAATAAGTCCAAGACTTTTTGATTTGGCAAGAGACCCAAAACTACAGACTCAAGAAATTGAGTGAATCCCAAACAGGATAAGCCCCCCAAAGTTCGTGTCCAACACATGATAATTAAACATATGAAAACTAAAGACAAAAGCTTGAAAGCACCAAGAGAGAAATGACACGTTGTCTGTAGAGGAACACAATTAGAATGATAGCCAGTTTCTCATCGGAAATAACGGAGGCTGGAAGAAAGCAGCATGGTCTTTTTCAAGTGCTGAAAGAAAAGTAGTGTCAGTACAGAATCCTGTATTCAGAGAGAATACCCTTCAAGAGTGAAGGGCAGGGGGCGCCTGGGTGGCTCAGTCGGTTAAGCATCGGACTCTTGATTTCAGTTCAGGTCGTGACCTCACGGTTCGCGTCAGGCTCTGCTCTGACAGCGTGGAGCCTGCTTTGGATTCTCTGTCTCCCTTTTTCTCTACCCCGCCCCCTGCTCGCTCTCTCTCTCTCTCTCTCTCTCTTTCCCAAAAATGACTAAATAAATAAACTAAAAAAAAATGAAGGGGAAATCAAGACACTCTCAGATGAAAGAAAACGAAGAGAATTTGTTGCCAGAAAATCTATGCTAAAAGAATAGCCACTTTATTGATTGATTGATTTTTAAATGTTTATTTATTTTGAGAGAGAGTGAGCAGGGGAGGGGCAGAGAGAGAGGGAGAGAGAGAATCCCAAGCAGGCTCCACACTGTCAGCGCAGAGCCCAATGCAGAGCTTAATCTCATGAACCATGAGATCACAACCTGAGCCGAAATCAAGAATCAGGTGCTTCAGTGACTGAGCCATATAGATACCCCTTAAAAGAATAGTTAAAAAAATTTTTGTAAACTTGAGGAAATGATAGAAGAAGG